GCTGTCAGCATGGCGGAGCCGAGCCCGGCACCGACACACCGGAATAACGGGCTGTAAACAAACAGCTAAAGGACGAGGCTAATGCTAACGGTGCTATTAGAGTAAGGGCAGCGAAATGAAGACGAGATGGAGAGATAAAGTTGAAGAAGTGTGTGTGTGTGTGCTCTCAGCTGTCTGGGTTTGTACCGGAGAACCGGACGAGTTTTAAAAAAAAACAGAAACCAGCTGACTGGAATCAAACTTTGAGCTGCGACCGTCTGAGCCGATTGAATTCACAAGACGAGAGAGAGACACAGAGACACATGTGAGGATGTCCTCTGGTCCTCTGCAGGGACTGATCTTCTGTCAGCTCGTCTCTACTGGTCAGAGGTGCAGCACACGGAGACACACGGAATCACGACAGAAGCAACAGTTAAAGAATCACAAGTGTTGTCACAACTTTATTTCACTCATGATAACTTGGAAAGTGCTCTGTGATAACTTTTTAAAAATCCAAAAGTGCTTCGAGAGGTGCAGCACGGTAAAACAGAGAAGGTCACAGAAGCAAAGCAGAAATCAAGGAAACAAAAATGTTTCAGTAACTTTTATTTATAGAAACTTTAAAGACTCTAAGTTACACTTCACCCAAATCATGCTGTCACACTTCATCAGTTATATATAAAACTAAAACACATGTCTCGTTGCTTGAACACATCGCAAACATAATTTAAGAGCATTGTCTAATTAATGACAGATTTATATCGTTAACAGAATCTCGTGTCGTTGACCTCGTCATGTCATTCCCGAAGGGGGAGCTTCTGATTGACACTTACCCCGCCTCTTTCTGTGACACCGCCCCCATGCTAACCATGCTAACCTGTGGTAAAAGTGCTGTTGGCGGGTTTTTGTGTGACTTTGTCATCGGAAAATGCTGTTTACATTGTCTTTGGGTTAATGTTGTAATATTGGTATCCGTGTAAACATCATCATCGGAAAATACTGTTCACACAGCCGTTACTTATTCAGGCTATTGTCTTAATCTGGTTAATATCAGGATATGGCCTCAGGATGTACACAAGAAGATTATGATGTTTGCTGTAATGCTAAGGCACCACACCTGACTGACTGTGAGTGGTTATAGGTGTGCTGCTTTAAAAACCACTGACACCACTCTCCTATATTTAGTTACTGAAACACCAGACTCATGCACGTTATAATTATTCTAGGAGGAAGAAAGCAACCAGGGTTTATTAAGAGTTTTGTCTCAGGGCTCTGTGTACTAACACAGGTCGGCTCCCTTATCTACCATAGTTAAACCTAATGGGCCTGTAGGAACAGCCCCTCGATTGACATCTCCCTGGTCCATCTATTAGATTTGTTGCTCTGGTCATGGCAGGACAAGCTGCACCTACATCATCAGAGCCCCATCGGCACAGTGCCCATTAAAGCCAGTTGTGTGGCACTTAGAAAAAGAACACAAGTACTAACAGCCTCATAAACAATACGGACATATAAACATGTTTCACGTGGCTTTTCTTGGCTGAATCCAAATGGAAAATTGTGGCACGCTTTCTCTGCCAACACGTAAAAGCAGTCAAAAAGACAGATGTGTGTCCTTTAGGCCCAACGTACTAAGTTCAATGTTTGAGCTTTCTTAAAAGTAGCAGTGACATTTCTTGGCGTGTTACGACTACCTGTAAACAAGAGTGGAAATCATTGACAGGAATGTGTATTGACCAACTCGGTCTGCATCCACAAAACATTCCTCTAAAGAAATTTAATGATAATAGAGATGTGCATTACGTGGTACAGTCAAACAGAGTATAGCCAATTACTTCACATGCTCAGGACCTCATCTGGTTTTAGTTCCACTCAGATTATCCAGAGAACAACCTGTGAAACCCACATATCTGCAACCTTGTGCGTTCCCACATTATTACATCTCAAAACCTATTAACTCACGTGTGTATTCATTTCCACAAAAATAATAGGAGTTCACGTAAAGGTTCGTCAGATTTATTACAAGCGGGTGAGTGAGGCTTGTTTCAGCGCTAACACTTAACAGCACTGAGCTCAAGCCACTCACACAAAGTGCTTTTATGTGCACACCTGAGTGATGTCACCACGTTGCACCGTGACTGAAAACCCAGCTTTGACTATGGATAAGGACAAGTCAGAGATGTGTGACTTATTTATAATCAAATTAATGTTTCAAGTTTAAATACTTCACTCAAAGACTGCTGGTGTAAAGAAACTTTAAAAAACCAATGAAAAGTCACTGACTGTTGGTTTGAGTCAACATTAAAACGTCTCTGGACACCTTGACTGACTCCTGTAGATATTGACCTCAGTCTGTGAACAGCTTAATGGCATTGCAGCCCCTTTTGGGTCTTCTTGAACAGTTTGCAGGTTCTGAGCAAAAGTAAATTCATTTTAAAGGTTAGCTTCAAACGACACTCGGCAGACTGCCCAGGATTTCAAAATGCAGAATGTTTGTGATTGTGTTCGCATTTCTTCTGGCAAGCTTTTTTCTTTCCTGAAGCCAGAGTGAAAAGGACAAAGTCTGCGATGTTAAAGATGTCACGACACCTGATAACAAGGTTTGCGTCAGAACTCTGGAAACTGTCCCTGAGTTTGTCTTCCACATGTGGAGAAGCAGCAGGAGCTTGTCCTGGTCAGACGTGTTCACAACAACAGGAACATGTGGGGGGACATTCAGACGAGGCGTGGTGTGAGGGTAAAATCATTCAGGAGGCAGGACGCGACGGAAGCTCAGTGTTTTCGGCCCTTATCGTTAAAACCCCTTGAATCTTGTCTTTCTACGTGTACGGCTCCTCTTTTTCATCCTGAGATGATTTTCCAGTTTTGCATCCGTCGTTTGTGAGAAACTTCATGTCCTCTCGATAACTGCAGGAAAAGTTCTAAAAAAAAAATGTCCAGGGCAGCTGACTCGAACTTTTGTGTTTTCACGTTCAGCCCTTACGGGAAACTTTGGGACAATGTGCAGACTTCAGCGCAGGTCTGAAAGCAGCTTAAGTGATTTCTCTTGGACAGTTTGGTTGAAATCACGTTCACTGTCAACACAACAAATCTTTCCTTTTTTAAACAACCTTCATGAACAGACTCTTTTGTTTGGATTATTTATTAATCTTGTTCCACGGTGAACGGTTAAACATTCACCATAGCAGCGGCGTGACATTCTGCTGGAGCTTCCTCTTTCAAAGCAGTTGACATGGCATTATCCTGAGCCTGCGCTTATCCCAAACCTTTCTGCTCCTCGCTGCTTCCTTTTCCTCTTAAAATATGTGAGGGAAACAGGCCATCTATTTTGAGGCCGTAATAATTTAGAAGGGGTGGGGAGGGGGGCTGATGTTTGCTGTGGCCTCAGGGGAGGCAGATTTAGACGGCCAATAGACTTGGCACGTTCAGACTGGTGCAGCTGAACCCCACCACACCCACCCGCCCTCTCTCTTCTCTCTCTCCCTCTCTCTCTCTCTCTCTCTCTCTCTCTCTCTCTCCCTCTCTCTCTCTCTCTCTCTGTCTGTCTATCTCCGTCCTCTCTCTATTGAGTCAGTGGCCCGGGTTTGCCAGAGGCTAGTATAATGGTTCCCAGTGTCTGGAGAGATTAAAGGCCAGAGCTGCATTGTTCAAATGCCCCGAGATTAGTTTCCAAGGAGACGGGTTTCAGTTGCCATGAGAACATAGTGCCTGGCTTTAGCCGTGCAGTTTTTTTTTCATTAGCAGTTCCTATCTGTTTGCGTCTTTGCTTTTATTTACATTCTCTAGCTTTTAATTTTGTAACGTCATAGCTCTGTACCTGCAGTGGTCGTGGAAAGTTAAGCACGTATCTCATGACCGTATCGGTTCTTCCGGCTGCTCCACGTGTCCTGAAGAGACTGAAGTATAAATGGGTTCATGTGATATCATGTGAGCCCCAGTTGACAACTTAAAGCAAACCATAAGTTACTGATTTCTGATAGATTCTGCTTTTAGTCATGCTGGTGGTGTGGCTAAAGGGATGACAATGTCTGGTTGTAGCCTGGTCCAACGCTGCTTTTACTGGATGGAAAGCTTTGAAAGTTTAGATAGATATTCACGGTCCCCAGAGGATGAATCATACCAATGTTGGTGATCTTCTGACTTTTTCCCCGTAGATTGTATAAAAGTAAATGTATACCCCATGTATAAATCGTTTTGTCCAGACATTGATGGTTCTCAGTCCTTGTAACCCGCTGCTTTTTTTTCTTCCACTGCCACTTGAGGCTGACGTCTGGTTTTAAGAATTTCATGACATTTGCTTTTAAACATTCATGATCCCCCCTCACGATGAATTTCAATAACTTTTGATGATCCCTTATTTTCCTCCAGAGCCACCATCAGGTTCAACATCTTATTCCCCCAGTTTTTGGTTTATGACCAACAAACCTGCGAACTAATGATCCTCAGCGCTACTCTGTGTTTCAAGCTAATTGTTAAATGTTATATAAAGAACATGGTAACCAGACCTGGTAAAATCAGCATGTTGGCATTAGAAATAATTGAAGACATTGCTGTAGTCCATGAAATAAGCATTCAAGGTGAGGGACTCTAGTATCAGATGGATGCTCAGAATACATGTTTGCATTTGCGTAGAGTTAAAACAAATGAAGTCAGAAGGTCCTGCTTTGAATGTGCGTGTGTACATTAATGCACGAATAACCACACGCAGGCTTTTGTCGACACTGCACTGTGGTCATCTGCCCTAACTGTGTTCATCTGTTCCCTGCAGAGGCATGGCTCAGATGAGGAAGCTGGCATGCGACAGCAACAGGGCGAACGCCCGGGGCGAGCCACTGGTGTCGGCCAGACAGGAGATCCTCACCAGCCTGGTGTCTGCCCTGGACTCAGTGGTACGTCCCGAAGCAGCCTCACACATTGTCCGTTCACTCTGCATCTCTTAATCTGTGGCGTCAAGTTGATTAAGTGCCCTCAGCAAATGAGTGAAAATCAAACCATGAAACATGAGAATAATCAGCTGCTTCTCAGAAACTGAATATTTCTTGTTTATGTCACTACAGCACCAGAAATTGACGATATGTATAACTGTGATCATAGCTGAGAGCAGAATTAAGCATCTTTTCCGAGAGACTCAGAAATCAGATCTTCAAGTAATCAATTAACTTAATGAACTCTTCAGTCGCACTCGTCTTCCTCAAGAGTTTTTTCGTAATAATTCCGGAGTAAATTGAGCCTGCGTCCTTGTTTTCCAGTGCATGGCGATGTCTAAGCTCAACGCTGAGGTGGCGTGTGTCACCGTACACGAGGACAGTGTGATTGCCGTGGGCACAGAAAAGGGCAGAGTGTTCCTCAACTCCAGGAGGGAAATCCAAACAGACTTCTACAAGTTCTGCCGTAAGTTCCTCTCAGAGTGGTGATTTCCACTATTCATTCTTGACAGAGCATTGATCTGTCTCATTACAGCGACAGATGCCAGACACTTACATAAAATGCACTCGTGTCAGACGTGTCCCGGCAGGATTTTGCAGTCAGTGATCACAGAAATGCACATTCAACCAAAAGGCTTCAATAACAGCAGCCTGCTCGCAGTTTTGCTTGAAATCAGATTATGTCAAGATAAAGTGATTGAATCCAAAAAGCCGTCGCAGTTTCACACATTCTGCTCCTTATCAGACAAAACAATATATCAACAAATTGTCCTGTCACATCTTTTGAGGCTATTTTATGTGTTCATCAATTCTTAAGACCCAGGGTAGTTTTTTAAACAGCCTGCCAGAGAGAGAGTTTAAATTATAATGTGGCAGGTTCTACTTTTTAGGTTTAACAGTCAGCCAGTTCTTACGTGGGTTATTTTTCTTACTCTGATGCTGTTTCTTTTAAATGCTTCATATCTCTGAATTCAACCTCGGTTAAAAGGTAATGTAAGTCAATAAACCGTAATAAATGATAAAAAACACTGAAACTGTGTTATAAATTAAGTAAATACAAAACTCAGACATGATTGTTCATCAGATTTCTGAATATAGAAACATACACAAACATTTCCTCACACTCCATTAGTGATTTGAACCATGGGGCGTTTTTTAGTTTTTGAGATATGGACATTGTTCTCTGCTCCCCTCGCAACACGATGAGGTAGAAAACAGAGGCCTTCGCTTTCTGTGGCAAAATTAAAACATGTTCTAACTATCATGGTTTTTTATTTTAGATCGATTTGAACAGGATCATGCAAACAACAATCTCCCGCGGGCAGGTGAGGGAAATCCCCATGGCGCCACCACCCATCGTTGCCACATTTCGCACTGCATGTGAAGGTCATCCATAAATAGAAGTACCAAACTTAAGGAGCACACCCTGTCATAACAATAAAGGGCCCAGTTCTCAATTCTTACACGTTCAAACTATAGTGATGCACATTTTTTAGGAATTGTCTCACATGTTGACCTTGAGCTTTTGGGTAAAACAGCAAATAACATCCCCTGACTCCGTGTTCTCTCCCTGCAGCCACCACCAGTTTAACAGGCTGTGACCTCCCATTACACAGTTTAATGTTATCGTCCTGCGAATGAAAGGAGAAATTAGTTCACTGGGAACAGTGACTCCACTTTGCTTTTTGTTTTGTGAAGAATAGAAACAAACCTTTTGTTTTTCTGGTTTCAGTTATGCGGCCTTCAAGCGTAACAAATGAGGAAGATTTGAACTAAGTGGCTCTATGTCTCCTACTTAATCACCAATTGTTGGAGATGCTCCCACATTTATCCAGACACCTTCCAAACAAGTCATTAATTTTATTAAAGATAAATTAAAGACAAACAAGTCATTAATTTTATATGGTGCTATTTTTCAAAAGCTGACATATTCATTACTTTAAAGAATAAGTCACTCAATCATCTCGTTTCTGTGGAACCTTCAAAGTAAAGGCACCGACTGCTCCTGTGCCTCTTTTTTGTGTGTGTTTTTTTTCAGAATGCAAAAAAAAAAAAAAAGTCATGTTTTCTGGAACTTTTATAGAATATATATAGTTTCTGGAAAATGTACAGCGAGATGATGTTTCTAACTTCTGTGACCGACATTAAACTGGAAGAATTCAAATGCACCAGGATGAAGCAGATGGGCCACACATGTAAAAGGGGCAGACGAAGATGTCAACTTGGAAAGACAACGAGATTTGACAGTTTTTGAGCCAACACTGAAATTCTCAAACAAGTTGCAGGGACTGCGATTTCCACAGCGGAATTTAAATGTCATGTCCTGCCTCCTGCTGCTCCACCCGTCGTCTGAACGTTTGGTGTAAACGTGTCAGACCGGAACAACCTCCTGCTGCGTCCTTCATGTGTGAAAGAGGCATTTTCCATGTCTGAAAACTTAAACCTGACTTTTGTCATTTGTCTTCAGGGGCGCCATGTCTGCCAAGTTTGACCACATCGAATGCCCATACCAAAGACCAGGACGGCGATCTCAGCAAATTGAGTAAAGACGGTGAACACGGGAAACCAAGAGCTCCGTCAGACGCTCAGTCCAACATCTTTGTTCTGAGGAAGATGGTGGAGGAAGTCTTCACTGTACTTTACAGTAAGGAGGAAGCAAATACAATATGATTTCTTGTACAGTTTATTTTTTCAAAAGGAAAACGTGCAGGGAGTAATTCTGCCTCGTGCAATGTGCAGGTGAAGCCGTGGGAAAGAGCAGCCTGGTCCCTGTGCCTTATGAGTGGATCCAGAAGGACCCCGGCTGTGTGGTGGCCCATGGTTTGCCTGAAGGAGTCACCCTGAAGAAGCCGTCTGAGTATGACATCAAGACACTGATGAAGATTCTGGAGCAGAGCCACCGGATCCAGTTCACGGTAAAACGGTGAGTCTGCTGTCTGTTCTTGTGTTCTGAACAATATACTGCCGTCTGTGGATAACAGGCTTCTGTCTGAACACTTGTATCAGATTATGAAAGCAGATGTTTCACATCTGTCCGCTCCACAAGAACGAATAAAAAAAAGATGTTTGGCATTTTGGGTTTAGCCTCTAATGTTTTCCAGAGAAACATACTTGTGTTTGGCTGGAAGCTCGTTGCTGCCTCGTCAGCCTCTGTAGTTTAATGGAAGAGGACAGACTGATGTGTTTTAGATAAACAGGGTTTTTATTTCAGCTGTTACAAACACTTCCTCGTGTTACATGTCAGAACATTTTATAACAACAGAGACAATGTACTTTGAGTCTGACAGGGAACGAGGTCAAAGTAACGCTGTCTCTGGTCTTCATGGTGATTTCAAACATGTCTCAGCTGCAGGAAAAATACACCAACTCATCAACTGGCAGTGGGAAAGGAGTCAATAACTTTTTTTTACCCAGGTTAAAAAGAAGTGGAGACATGTTGTCCATCTTAATTTACAATCTTAAGAGTTTCTTTTGCTGCAGCAGATGCAGCGTAAGCCAGGAGACGCTTGGCAGGTGATTACGGTTGGCAAACAGAAAGCTTGATGTCAAGCTGTGATGTTTGTAACCTTTCAAACACATCAAACATTCAGATTAAGATCGAGTGGAACCTCGAGGCAGTATTTATTTTTGTCTTGATCTTGATTTCTTCTTCTTGTGCTCAGGCCAGCAGAAGATTTGTCCCGAGAAGCCAAGTCCAGCACCGATGTCAATCACAACACTTCCACTGCCGCCATCATGACGCCAAGCAGCCACGGCGCAGGGAAGACCACCCCCCAGGTAGCCCCGTCATCAAGTCCCGCCACTTCCAGCAACTCTGTCCTGTCAGACTTCCTGTACGGCATGCCCATGTCCTCCAAACCTCACCCAGACAGCAAGCTGGACTTCAAACCCTTGTCCCTCCTCAACCTGGGCAAGGACAGACTGGCCAACTGGACAGCGGGGTCGGACAAGAACGTGTCTGGCAAGGACGGCGCTAACAATGGTAATGTGGAATGGAACATGGTCATGAGGCTCCCTGGGTATTTTCCATGTATATCAGTGATGTTGCCAGTGAATACTTGGAACAGTTTGAAACGGACCGATCTTGACTTTTAGCTTTTCCTCAGATAAAAAGATTCTCTCTGCGAATGTGAGCAAAACTCCTGTCAACAGTAAAGATGTTAACAATAAGAAGAACGGCCCGGGTTTAAAAAGTCTCATCTGTGTGGAGTCACATTATTAAAGTACACATTCTTTCATTCAGAGCAGCTCTTCTGTTGCACGTTTCCTTCTCTTCAACCCGTCTCTGAAGGAATCATCAGTCCGGTGTGTTCACTTACCCGCGATTGAAATTCTAGAGAAGAAGTCTAAACCTCTAAAATGTAGATAAACAGACCCAGTTCTAAATTGTGGTAATTTTCCATCTTCTACAGTTAATTAGCAACGTTAGTCAAGTAATTCTGAAAGCTGGAGAAACAATTTACTGAATGAGCAGATGCCAAGTGAAGATTTCTTTGTGAAATTAAATTGAACTGAATATATGAATAACTAGACAAACGTTTGTTTTGAATTTTCAGATGAGACAACAAGACTACCTGGTGAACAAGGCCAGAGTCCTCCTGGAGTCCACATCTCCAAGAGGCTGCTCTTCTCTATTGTGCATGAAAAATCAGGTACGTTTGAACTTATGACCAGAGAGAAATCACTGTTGGTTTTATTTTAAAAACACAGGTACTTCTTGTGTCTGTCGTTTCTAATTAAAAGCACTTCAACAGTTTAAATCCACTTATAAAGGAATATGAGGGTTTTGTGTGTTTCTCCTTGTTCTGCTTGGATTTGTAGACTCGTACAAGTAGTCGAGCGTTGTTTACTGAACCGGGGCTGAACGTTACTAACCCTTCACCATTAACGGCTAAGCTACTAAGATGTCAACAGTAATCCTTTAAGAAGATTGCACTCACTCCCGAGTTGACATTGAGAAGATGGAGACGATTAATTTCAGATCTTTAGCACCACTCTGAAGTAAAGCTCATTTGAATGTTAATGCTCTGCTAAACTTTCATTTTACATAAAAGATGTTTTGTCTCACTTCTCTGTCTTGCAGAAAAATGGGACTCGTTCATTCGGGAAACCGAAGACATCAACACGCTGCGGGAATGCGTTCAGATTCTGTTCAACAGTCGATACGGTGAGAAAACATCTCTGTGTGTCACAACTTTAAATACAGTGAAATGTTGAGGAAGAAGAAAAAGAGTTAAAGGAGACATTCTGCTCTTATTTAGGTTGATGATTTTTTATTTAATTACATGCGCTAAAGTTCAGAAGACACATCACTTTCCTCATTGGTGGGCGTGCAGTATCCTGGAGCTAACGACACTCTACCAATAGCATCACACTGTGTGTCTGTTTACTTCCTGTTTTCCACCTGCAGCTGAGGCCCTGGGTCTAGATCACATGGTGCCTGTCCCCTACCGCAAAATAGCCTGCGACCCAGGTGCCGTGGAAATCATAGGCATCCCCGACCAGATCCCCTTTAAGAGACCCTGCACCTACGGAGTCCCCAAGCTCAAACGCATCCTGGACGAGCGCCACGGAATCCGCTTCATAGTCAAACGGTGAGGAGTGATTTAAGAGCGCAATTACAAAGACAGAAATAGAATTTTTCAAACGTTGTTGGAGCATGATATCCGCTTCCAGGCAGATGTAAATCTCTGGGATATATTCATGCATTAGACATTTGTAATTTATATTTCAAGCAAACACATCGATGCACACTTTCCTGAAAGTCTAATCAAGTTTAATTTAGTCCCTGAGTGCAGGTCATGATCCAGCGCCGCTCCACCAATCTACAGCGCCGGCGCCGCTTCCGAAACTTTTATTTGCAGAGGATTTTAATAAGAAGCGGAGGGGGCCTATTCCATCTGTCTCTTAAACGTCTGCTTCCTTCTGCACGCTGACATCCCACCGACTGCTAAACCATTTCCATTCAGGTCCCAAATGACTCCCCTGCCAGCGTGGCACACTAACGGCTGCTCTCCCCTCCATTTGTTTAAGCTAATATAAACGAGCCACCATGCCTTGTTTGAGATAACACATCTTTTAACGAATCCTGCAGGCGGCTCGTTAGTGTTAATACAATTAGGAAAGATTGAAAATGTGATTAATTCAGAATTACATCACATTTCCATTGTCATTGAGGTATGTTCCAGATGCAGGCCCTGATGTTCTCTTTTTGGCAGGTCATCTTTTTTTTTTTTAAACGCACTGATCGTTCGTTCTAATGGTCTGCTGCTTTGTTTTAAGCTGTAAATGCTCTTATATAAGCTCTGCATTCATACAGCGCATTTCTGTTGCTTTACATGTCTCCACTTCCCCCCCGCCATCCAAAGTACGCCTGATATAAAAGCTGCCATCTTGCACATTTGGAGCCGGAGTCTGTGCAGTAGCAATCAGGGACCGAGCCGCAGTAGCAAGATCCCGCCGATACACAGCCTCAACCAATCACGAGTCAGTTCCAGCTGTCAGACATAAACACTCGGACATACATCAGTGTGATAAGAACTAAAGTGACACTCCACTCTCCGGCTCTAAATGATGGCCGAACCCGCATCGGGGACATTTTGGCCTCATTTTAAACGGGCTGAAGTAGCGATGTGTCTTCGATCTTTATTTACAGTTTTATGCTTCTGCCTCATATAAAAACAATAAAAGCAGCTGTTGTTTGTGGTGTATTTGGAATTTTAGAGCCTGAAATCAAAAATTAGGTCATCTTGCTCTGTTAAGAAAAGAATCGTTGCAGCTGGAAGATTCAGAAGTTAAGCAGTCATAAAAAAAATGTTTTACAAACAGACATAAAGTAGAAGTTAAGTAAATACTTTAGTGAGGATAAGTTACGATAACAGCAGGACAAGAGTGCAGCACGTACCAGGAGTCTGCTGAAGCAGTCCAGGAGCGTATCTCAGTTATTTTTAGTCAGAGGGATTCAGTGATAACGAGACTCAATTAGCTGATTGTTTAAAGAGCACGTAATGTGTGTAACGAGCTGGTTTGCATCATGGGTTGTTTGTTTTTTTTGCCCTAGAGCTTTTTGAACTTGGTGACTAATGACCTATTTTTCTTTATATTGCAGAATGTTTGATGAAAGGATTTTCACTGGTAAGAGTCTGATTCATTTACGTTTTGTTTAAATGCCATTTTCTCCTCACGCCTCTGAGCCGTGAGTTAGCATCGGGTACAAACACGAGAAGATGAACATGAATTTATGAATTTCAAATAAGGGCCTGAAGTAATTCTGTGACTCCAATATTCATTCATATCTGTTGTTCTTGTCACAGGTCTTACATTTCATTTGTTATGGTCTTAAAAACTCTTAACTTGTTGAAACCTGCAGAAACCCTGTATATACAAATTATTTTAAACCATCAAAGATCATTAGCAACCTCCGTAATCCTTTATTTAAACTCCACCGATGTTTCTAATCTAACGTGATGCAGCATTTGCTCATCTCCTCCTGCCTTGTTTTTTCAAGCTGCTGGCAAGATCGCGAGGGAGGAGGGAAAGCACGACCTGGGCGCCGCACATGAAGACGGCTTCGCTGACAATCTGAGCATCCCGCCCGCCACCGCAGAGCTGGTCAGCAACCCGCTCAGCAGCAGGTCAGACGGAGCACGCAGAAATCCACACGACTGTTTATGAAATTGAAAATATGAGACGGTGGCATGCAGCCAAATTATATTGTATTTATAACCCACATTACTTTTAGTGTTGGACGAGTTAAACAGTTTAAATATGCTGCTCTTCATAATTTATCGTTTACATTGCTACTGTGACACAGGCTGTGTTAAGACTCAATTTAGCCCTGAATTCTCTTCTTTATATCCATATGTAACACGCATTGAAAGTAAATCCACTGAAATGGATTTATCGGAGAAAAATATGTTGAATTTGAGAATAACATAAAACATGTTTCTGAAGCATAATAATTCATTCTGCATTAATATTCCAAACCCATCTCTTTAAATGTCTAAATAAAGTGAGTTACCAGTTACCAGCCTGTGGTAAATGAACTATAATTATATAATGTTTTTCTGGTCTTAATGTCCACTCACAGCACTTTGTATTACAGCTGACATTCATCTATTCATACGCATCTTCACACTGAGCGTCGATATTAAGCACTTTGGCTGATTTATTACGGCTTTCAGACCCAAAATTGGGTCTGGACATTTTTGCTGCCTTTCACATATAAAGAATGCACCAGGAGGTAATTTCAGTCAGACCCATTCTTTCTGAGAGGAAAATGTCCAGAACATTCAGGGGAGGGGTGATATCTCGGTAGAGCAGTGAGGAGGCGGATAATGACGTATAAATTCAGATACGGAAGGCACAGTGTTTTTGNGGGGGGGTGACGTCTTGGTGGAGCAGCAGGAGCACGAGATATCTGTATTCTCCAGGTTTGAATCCCTCACATGTTAGAAACGCTATCAACACGCTCGCCGGACATTTTCCTGCCGTATTTTTTTCAAGTGAGCTGCAGGAGAAGTTCTGGAAAACGTCCAGAGCTACATCTGCGTCTCACGTGCAGCCCCTCGGGAAAAGGTCCGGACCCGCGAGCATATCTTAAAGCAGCTTATCACTCATGCATCTCATTCACACGCTGGCCTCACGGACGTCAATGGGCAATTTGCGTCGGCATGCAGACTTGAGGAGCCAGAAATAAAACCAGCAGCCCTCTAGTTAGTGGACGACCTGCTCTACCTCCAGAGCAGCCATAATCAGTTTCATGTCTCTGAGCTGACCAGAGAAAAATATTTCTTCAATGAATCAGTTTTGTGTTTTGGGACTCAGCAACATGTGTTTTATTTGTCTTCGCAGGTCGACAAGTGCGTGTGTGAGTCCCCTGGCTGACTGTGAAGCAGGTATGTGCTTCACGCAAACTCTTCTCGTTGCTCTGCCTGAAGTTACAAAATATTTAAGCCCCCCGAGGAACAAATGAAAGTTTTTATGCCGTGTTAACACTCTTTGGAAATCTTTTTAAAACTGTGTCTCGCAGTCCATTCAGTTCAAACACGAGTCGGTCGCCGACTTAAATCTGTTTAACGCAGCCATAAAACACAGAGCCGCAGACTGATGGGAGCTCAGGCAGAATGAACTGTTGTCTCTCCGCAGGCCCTTCAGGAGATTGCATTCCTCTGAAAAGGATTAAAACGGAGCCTCCAGATGGGGAAATAATTCAAGTTACAGTGCCAGGTAAGTCAGCACACACTCAGCAAGCCCTTCATACTTCACTTCTTCAAACCAAACAGATGTTTTTTAGAGATTATCACTGATGTATCCCATGTTTGTGATGAAGAGTCAAAATATAAAACTACTGTCTGTCTTCAGATGTCAACAGCAGCTTTATGATGTGGTTTTACTTTTCTTCCGTCTGCTGCTGCCTCTTCTCCAGCTTCACTATCAGCTCTGTAATATCTGCTCTGCAACACTGAGAGGACAGTTTGCTCTTTGTTGTCAAATGCGTCGTCTCGTGTGCTTGAACATCCTCTGACAGCGACAACGCCTGATGCACAGATTGTATTTATTGGGAAGCAAGCACACGGAAGAAGCTGCAGTTAGTCAGCATGAGTCTTTAACTCAGCGAGAGGGAACTGTGTTGTTTCGATGTGGCTGAAACAAACAGTGTTTAGGAAGGTGGACGAGAACTTGTTTTTACTGAGGTCAGGAAAAGAAGTTAGTCGTCCTCAACCTCTTTAAGGTTTCCTACCTGTGGAGCCCAGAATCAGAAGTTTTCAAGTCTCAATAGTTCTTAAATTATCACGGTTCTGTATGAGATTTACACTCAATTTGTTCTTCTGTGTTTTAAACTCTTACAAGAAGATAAATAATAAATAAATCCTCATTTTTCTACCTCAGATAAAAAGCAGCTTTAATCTGTGTGAGTTTCACATGTTGACATTTTCTCCTTCTTTCTCTGTTGATTCGTTTTTTGTGTCAAACTGAGTAAAACTAACACCGAGGAACCAAAACAGGAAAGATCAGCAACCTGGCATTTCCTGTTGATGTAGATAAAGATGGACGACATGACAGGTCCCGAAAGAGAAGCAGAGACATCTTCGCCGCCCCCTGGGGGCTGGCTGCAGTGTAGGGTTATGAACCCCACCTCCTCCACGTTAGCGGATGGTGCATGGACCAAATTCCACAAACTGTATCTAGGATATCTTGGCTTTATTTTTGTGCCGTGGTAGGAAGTGGTGACGCGTCGTCCATCTTTATTTACAGTCGTGTAAAAACAGCAAAACTTAAAAGAAGCTTTTTTTCTCCAGATGCTGGTACGAGTGGGGAGGAGCCCAGCGAGCCTGTGGCCGAGCCTGTCGCAGCAGCAGCAGCAGCAGCAGCAGCAGCGTGTCCAGCCACAGCCTCGCCCTCCGCTCACCCGCCCCCCCCTGCTCCCGCAGCTCCCCATCACCCGCTGGAAAATAACACAGGTAACTTCGGCCACGTCGGCCCCCAACTCCATTTCATCCACATCCTTCTCACCCGCAGCCCCTGGAATGCCAGCTCACTGTGCCGCCCAGCGTCCACCACTGACACCTCACCACACTCTGGCCCCCTGTAGGCCGCTAAATAAGCTGCAGCACGTATGAAACCACTTTTCTCAGATTCTTTATCATCCACAGTCCCACTTCCCCCCCCCCCCCCCCCCCCCC